ATACTATAATATTATATAGTATTAGATAGTATTATATAAAATTATTAGTATAATAATAATTAATAGTATAATAATAATTAATAGTATAATAATAATTAATTAATATAATAATAATATATAATAATTATATAATAATTATTAATGTAATATATATTATATTAATAATAATTATATTAATAATTATATATATTATATATTACAATAATGTATATTTAACATAAAACTGAAAATTTTTTTCTTTTACCATGATAGTCTTCATAAATGATTTCTCTTTTTATTGGATCTCCTTTTAATACAAAATAATTAATATAATATTTATCAATCCATATCATAAAAGGACCTTCTACAATTAATGATTTATTAGTTGATTGTACCGCAAGAAGTTCTTGTTGTGATCTACTCATAGAAGATACAATCCATGTATCATCAATTGCATCAGGTACATCTTTTGTTTTAAATATAATAGTATTAGCTTGTACATCTACTCTAGACATTTTTGTTATAGCAAATTTAGCAAGTTCTTTTGGATCTAATGGTATCGGCCTGGGTACTGGCCAAGGATTTAATTGAGAAAACTTTGGAAACCAATAAAATATGCTCCAACACTTTTTTATAACTAGATTCTTATCACCAAAAATACTTATAATCATTTCTTGCATTTCAAAATCAGGGATCACAAAATTTTTTTCCATCTTATTAAGTATATGTAGAGCTACATCTTGATGTTTTGCATAATAATAAAACATAGTTTGATATTTATTTTTTGGTATATATTTGTTTTTTGGAAATATATCTAACAATTCCTTGTATACTTCTAAGTCTTTATTTACACCAAATTCATCCATATATTTTAAAGCAGTTAAAATAAATTGCAATTGTCCTTTTCTAGCACTATCATCTTTTTTATATATATGTATAATTTCCAAGAAAGTTTCCTTCTCTTTTCTTTTCACATTAAAACGATAAGGTATAATTTCATTCTTAGATTCATTTTTATTATATAAAACTTGTTTTATATGAAGATTATTAACAATGGTTAATCGTATATTTTTATGTTTTTTAATGATTAAAAATTTATTTGATAAAACAATATTTCTCATTAATGTAATCATATTATTAATTTGTTTAAATTTTGTAATACTTATTTAAATTAATTTATAAATATATAAAAGTATATAATAGGTTATCACTGTTTTTCTTCTATAATCTTTTTAATATAGTCAATAAATTTGATATATATATATACATGTAAATAACATTGTAAATATGTTAATATTTATATAAATTGCAATATCAATTTATTAATTAATATCTAATATCAACAAAATTTTAAAGAACATTTTTTAACATAGAACAACATTTAAAACTTTGTATTTGTTTCGAAATATCAATTGCGTAAAAAATCAGAATGATATTTTTTACTATTTAGAACGAATAATTATATTCAATTTAATCAGAGAATTTATAGATTTTAAAAATAATTTCTTTAATAGATTCTTTTATAAATATTGTCATATATTATATGGATATTTATAAGCATCAATAGAATAGAATCATATCTTGAGCACATAAATTTTGCAGAATAAATACAAACAAGTAGTATAAATGATGAAAAAATGATAAAAATAATACTTCTTTATATAATCAATCATCAAAAAGAAAATTTCTAATAATATTAAATAGTCAAACTTAATAATTTCTTAATTTAGTATATGTACTTAAGCAACTTCTAACAACTTTTTAGGTATAATATATATAATTAGATGATAATAAATTTAAGACAAAAAATTCTTTTATTAATAAATCTTTATTAATTAGCTATTATTAATTTATTAATTAGTTATTAATTATCATGTAGTCTAAACTTGTAAACTGTGCTTTGAAATATAGAAAAAAAACAGAAATATATATTTTCTTTCATATAAGTAACACACTTTCTTTATTATCACTTTTATATTGCTCTCCTAATAATCATGATAAAATATTGAAATCATCTTCTAAATGCTCTAAATGAAATACATAAAAAAAAGAAAAAAAAATAGTAGAAGAAAGAGTAAGAATTGATAATTATTGTCATTCTTATCAATTAATATTTCTTGAAAACTAAAGATATTTCTTTAAAAACACATAGAAATAAAAATTGAAAATCAGTTCTTTTGAATATTTTTAGTAAGATAATTTTTTGAAAAAGATATCTTTGACATTCAAAAGATGGCATTGATCATCAAATTTTACCCTATTTCCATCTTTTTTCTATTATTTTTTATTCTTTTCTTATATATTTTAGTTGTAATAGAGATGGCGCTGATTTCCATATTTTTAATAAATTTCTATCCTTTTTCCACCATTTATTTTCCTTGTCTATACTTGTTCTGCATGTGATTACAAAGGAGGTACGGAATATTAATTGAATTAATTGACTCTTTAATTGTTTTTCTTTTAAAATTAGAATGTATTTTAATCTTTAATATAAAAAATATAAATATTATATTCTCAGTTTTACAAAGTATCTCTAAGTCTATTTTATAATATATTTTTACGCGAGGCAACAGCAGCAGGATTAAATATATATTTATATGTATATTTCAGCAATAAAAGAAATAGGAAAGAATCTTGAAACATTTTATAAAAAAATGACGCTCTAAAGTAAACTAAAATGATAAGAAATTTTAATCTTTGGAATAAAAAAAATATGCATTGAATATAGATTTATTCTCAATCTTATATTTTGAATAAATCTAGATATTAAACAGTACCTATTGCAATAAACTTAAATAATATTAT